TTAACGGCAGAATGTGAGGTTGCAATAGCTCCAAAATCCAGAACATCTACAAGGTAATAGACTTTGTCTAAAAGGGTAGGATAGAAATCTAATAAATAAATAAATGGATGAATGAATGAATGAATGAAGAAAGAAAGAAAGAAAGAAAGAAAGAAAGATAGAAAGAAAGAAAGAAAGAAAGAAAGAAAGAAAGAAAGAAAGAAAGAAAGAAAGAAAGAAAGAAAGAAAGAAAGAAAGAAATAGCATTTTGTTTCTCCTTGTGGTAATCATTACGCAGGGTTGGCCTGTCACGTTAAGTTGCAGGAGGTTTATGAACATAGGGGATTTACATTAACGGGGCTGTGCAGCTTGCCCAAGGCTACACAGACTGGCTTTTCTCCTGGGAGGCTCAGTAGGGAATCAGACTCCCAAGGATTCCCAATTCACTGAGCTATCCGTGATGGCTATGAGCCTAAAAAACTCTCCACCATTGTATCAGGCATCAGAGATTTAAAAACAGTTAAAGAACAGTTAAAGAAAAAAAATCAAAGGACTGAAGCCATTGCCTGCTGTGGATGGTAAGTCCCACCATCTTCATGAATACTGGTAAGATTTTTCTCTTAAAATTGCTATGTGGGGCCAGTGATTCTCTCATTTTCTTATCCCCCCCCCCAAGTAGCTGCTGATTCATAAAGCTTCACAAAGTCTCAACAACAGCAAACAACACTCTTGTTGCCATTTCAATGAATGGTCTTGCCAAGGTGGTTCTTTTGGGAAAATCCTGTCTCCTCCGCCATTTTGGATATGTTAGCTGTTGTAGAACAGAAAGCTGGATGTGTTAGCAGAAGTATGTATAAACACCATGTGAAATGCATATTGGGGTTGACTTGAAGATGGATCTATTAGCATGGTTCTTATATCCCTTGAGTGTCTTGTGCTTGTTCTTCCCCAGGATTATTCAATTTCTATGAAAAATATCACTTCACCAGTTTCAGAAAGAAAGCGCTTGCGGAGATGTATGATCTTATCAAGTCAGATGACATATTCACAAACTTTATCAATTCTAGCCTGGTAAGTCTTTTATTTTAAAAGTGATGACGCTGCGGGTTAAACCGCAGAAGCCTCTGTGCTGCAAGATCGAATCCACATGACGGAGTGAGCTCCTGTCGTTTCTCCCACCTCTTGCCAACCTAGCAGTTCGAAAGCATGTAAAAATGCAAGTAGATAAATAGGTAACATCATGGTGGGAAGGTAACGGCATTCCATGTCTCATTGCACTGGCCATGTGACCACAGAAACTGTCTTCAGACAAACGCGGCTCTATGGCTTGGAAACGGGGATGAGCACCATTCCCTAGAGTCGGACACGACTGGACTAAATGTCAAGGGGAACCTTTACCTTTACCTAAGTCTTTTATAAACACTGCTCAGCAATGGCTGTCCCTGAAACAAATTCTTTTCAGTATCAAATTGTCCTTATTTACCTATATTGTATTTAGTGTGTTTTGTTTTGGTATTAGTTATCAGAAGGTAACCACAAGATTAATTTTCAAGTTGAATTACTGGGGTATCTATCTATCACCCATGGCACCATGGTAAAACTGCAGTCCTGCAGTCAAGACTCTGCTCATGATCTGAGTTCAATGCCAATGGGCTCAGGTAGCCATCTCAAGGTTGATTCAGCCTTCTGTCCTTTCGAGGTGGTAAATTGAGTAGCCAGTTTGTTGGAGGGACAATGGGCAGCCTGCATAATTAAACTGTAAATGGAAATGCTTTAAATGCTATGGGCTAGTACATAAGCAGGGCACTTTGCTTTATCACAGAGGAACAGGGGTGGTTCAATCTGACCATTCCTACAAGGAGAAGAAGGTACAGGTTGCCATAATATTCACCACTGCACACTGCCAGCTGACTCTTGAGCATCTTTGCCAGGGTCGTGCCATGTCCGAAGAGATTTTTCTATTCACATTTCTCATAGGCATGGCTGTCTCAGAGACAGTCAAGAAGCAACTGGTTCTGGAGAGCTGTGTAGAGTAGCAGTAACACTTTTTAAGGCCCTGCCAGGGTGGGCATAGGCGTGTAGAGTGGTTAATTTTCTGTGTCTCATGCTCTGGCTCAGTGAGGCTCATGGTATAGCTGCTCATGCCAAGTAAATGATTTTGTGTGAAGGAAGACAGATTAATCACAAGGAGCATACATTTCCCTTAATGTCTAGCATTACCCTAATTGCTACTTGTTAGGGTTTGCC